AACGCAAGATATGAGTCATTTGTCAGATATATGTACTATAAAAAATGTCTTCTCCCATTCTGCGGCTTGCCTTTTCAGTTTGTATCTTGTGATGAATAGATGTTCCTGATCTTAATTCAATTTATCCAATTTTCTTCATATTTAATTCATATTTTAATAAACCTTTGATGACATAATGAAGGTTTTTTCCTCTAAATTTTTTTTTTCACATTTAGATCAGCAATCCATCCAGAAATTATTTTGTGTATGATGTGAGTTGAAGTCAAGATATTTTCCACTCCTTATGTGGCTATAGGACCAACACCATTTACTTGACTTTTCTTTTCCCGTTGTACTGCTGTGTTACTTTTATCATAAATCAGGTGACACATATATGTCAGTCTGTTTCTGGGCTCTCTTTTTTGTTCCATTGGTTTGTCTATCCATGTGCCAATACTATATTATCTTAATTGTTACAGCTTGCTATTTGGTGGTGTATGTAAGTCTTCCAGACTTTCTTTCTTTTTCTTCATGGTTGCCTTTGGCTTGATACGACAGTTAAATTTGCATTTCAGTTGAACATCCTTTGAGGTTTATTGGCCAGTTGTATTTTCTCTTCTATAACTATACTGAGCTCTGGTGGAGCAGTGGTTAAGAGTTCCATTGCTAACTTAAAGGTGAGCAGTTCAAATCCACCAGCTGCTCCTTGGAAACCCTATGGGGCTGTTCTACTCTGTCCTATAGGGTCAATACGAGTTGGAATCAACTCGACAGCAATGGGTTCGGTTTCGGTTTTTTATAGCTATATCAAGGAAATTAGCTCTTTACCAGTCAAATGTTGTCTGCACAGTCTTTTAAAAAACATGCTTACAATTTTTCCCCCAGTTATTACGTACTCAAAAGTATCAGATTCTCTTTTTCTTCTCTGAGTTCTGGTTTTATGCTTAGAAAAGCCTTCTCTATGCTAAGAGTGTTAGCAATACAAAGAAGTAACAGAATTTCATTTTTTATATTATTTTTATAATGTTTGATATCTTTATAATTTGTAAACTACCTTAAAATGTAGTTTCTTTAAAGAAATTCTAGTCATTCCCCATTACAAAATATTGGCCCAATAATTTATTCTAATACTTTTTGATAATTTATTTCTAATATTTTTCACGACCTCATTTGCCACAGTTAAATCTTTAATTCACCTGTTACTCATTTTAATTTGTGGTACCAAACAGAGATCCAACATTTTTTCTAAATATGGCTGGCTATTTATGCACTTTTATACCCCTTCCCCCAGTAAAGTTTGAGTTCTCATCTTATTGATCATAGGAGTTCTTTATAAGAATATTAGTTCTTTGCCAAGTATGTTATAAAGATTTTTCCCAATTTGTCACCAGACAATTTAAAAAGATTTTCAGAATATTGGTTGAAGCTGTATATAACTATACAACAGAAATATACACAGAAAAAGGAAAAACTTAACTACACCCTAATCCTAAATCTGGTATCAATTTGTGTGGTCTTCAGTCTGAGACTTACAACAATAAAAAACCAAAATCATTAAGTCTAGGAATGTAAAAACAATAATTAGAACACATTACCTAAATATTTCACCTACCCAAAAATTAACTCTATGGCAAACTTCGTATTTGAAACAGGACACAAAACAGACCATTTAGCTGTTAAAATAAAAATAAAAGATCATAAACCTCAATCTTTAAAGAACCCAGGCTCACTTTCACTCTGTTTGCTTTCACTTTGTATACAGTTGCTCCAACCCTGGATCAGCCCCATAATTCACCATATCTACTTCTATACTGAAATGGTTGCGTATACTTACAGAAAAAACATTCAGAATGGAAAGCCATTATTTTGTAAGGCAACGATCTGTATTGGACCATCTATTAAATCCACTGTCCAGTAGATTTCCAACTAGGGCTTTGTTTTGTTTTCGCTTGAACCCTGCTGAGAATTTGCATTTCTAACAAGTTCCCTGCTGAGAATTTGCATTTTCACCCCAGATATACAGAATCAGAATCTACATTTTAACACAATCCCCAGGTAATTAGAAATGCAAATTCTCAGCAGGGCTCCTGTCAATTCTTTCACATATTTTTAGTCAGTCATATATCTCAGCAGCCTTCTCAAACTTCTTCCTACAAAAAAGTCATCATTCCTATCACTTACTCTCAGCACATGATCTTACCTCCTACTTCATGACAATCATTTCTTGCAAACTTACTTATATTGATGCCTTTTAAATACCTTAGATCCTCAACTCTTTCTTCCTGGTCTTAGATCAAGAAAATCAAACAAGTTGCTGTGGAGTTAAGTCCGACTCATAGCAACCCTATAACACACAGCAGAACTGCCCCATAGGGTTTCCAAGGAGCAGCTGGTGAGTTCGAACTGCCAACCTTTTGGTTAGCAGCTGACCTCTTAACTACCGTGCCACATGGGCTCCTACTGTTTTTAGAGGAAGAAGTATTCTTTCTCCAACTCTAAACTAATACCTTAATTTATGTACACTGAAGGGGTAAGACTCATTAATTAATGCTCCTGCTCAGGGACTCTGCTCCATAATTTATTATCTGATGCAACCTTGGTTTTTCCTGTCAGTCTGTGAAAATATTCTAATGTCTTCCATTCTTAAAAAAAAAAAAAATCCCTTCACATTTTATTCAATCCATGTATCAACTCTCTCTCTTTTGTAGGGAGGAGTCAGAATTTCTATTTCTTCACCTCCCATTCATTCCGTAACCCCTTCTCCCAATGTTTTATAACTGTGTTTTCAACTGAAGTTACTGACAAAAATTAATACAGTGATACTGGATTATACCAACCCAAGGAAATGAGGGAATTTTTGATTCCACAAATACTATAATTTTGTCTATGACTACACTCATTGATGGAAGTTGAAACTGCTAGAGGGATCTGATTATGAGTTTCTCCTTGGCCCTGAAGTGGAGAAAACTGGAAACCGTAAATAGTAAGCACCTTAAAATTTTCACAAGTTTGACCGGGGATGTGTATCTTATATTTACTTACATGTGCATTTACAATTGTTGATATAGTGGTTAAAATGAAGAAAAATTCTTTTTTATGTCTCCATTAAAGACTGGAATCCAGGGACTTCCACTCTTACAGGTCTCTTAAAAATGTCTCTCATTAAAATAGTCTACTACCTCCAGGTGAAAATCTTTCTAAGCAAGAAAGCAAGGTACAGCAGAAAGAATCAGATTTGGATTTGAATTCCAGCTTGGGAAATAAATACTAGGAATAAGCCACTGACTAAATTCTTAACTTTCCTACCTATAAAACAAGTTCACACCCTACCTCACAGTTTAATTGCGAGCTTTAAACAAGATAATATACTTAAAAGCACTTAACACAGTCCTAGGCACATGTTAAATACCTTCCTCCCCTTAGCACAATGTCATAATCCAAACAGGCATACAACTATAAAGGCGTAAGTGTGCCAACATGAAGCAGTATTAAAACTTTGTGAACTATGTGAAACAGAAAATGTGACAAAAGTACCATCTGTTCATACTCACTAATAATTTTTAAATGAAAAAAGCTTCAATTTGAAGTGAAACTTACTAGAAGATATACAAGTATTTTGAGAGAATCCAATTACTGATGTACTTTGAGAAATTAAACTCCCAATGATTTCTTCTAAAAAGTGTAAACGATTACATTTGATTTAATAAAATTGACAGAGTAGTACACAAAAAGCTGCACTGTATACCAGACTGAGAGAGACTAATCTAATTCACCTTTTCTCAGGAGAAATGTATCTTAAATATACAAATTTCCGCAGATATACACAAAAGTAAATTGATGTAAGGATGGAATTTAGAATGAAGGGAAGTTTTTCTCTAAATCCAAAAAATACACACATGACCGAAATGAATCCTGAACCTTTTCCAAATATTAAAAAAAAATTTTTTTTTAGTTGTCAGAATTGGTGCAAAGCAGCTAGATTTAGTAGAACGTAGGACGTCAGCTGCTAATCCTAAAAAAAAAAAAATATTCTGGGGGTGGAGAAAGTGGGCAATCTTCCCAATAAAACAACTGCCAGAAAACACCATACATATATGAGAACATACACATCTGTTAAATATCAGTTTACACTGTTCTAGCCAACTTACAAATCAAGACAAAGGATTTAAAATCTAAAAAAATAAATCATACTCTATTTCTGTTCAAATTTTGCGTAGGTGGCTACTGGAGAATAGTTCTCCACGTCAATTCAAGGGAAGGAGAACTAAATAATAAATCCAGTGTTCACATTCAAACGTGGAGTGGTGGGGGAGGAAAGGAAAAGGGAGGTTCTGAGTCCATAAAGTTCTCCTCTCTCTAAAAACACTGTAAAAACTGTCCACGTCTGAGGACACTTACCCTTGAAATTCCTTGGAGAATGATCTGGAGACTTTCTGTTCAGTTTTGAGGGGGAGCGGTTTAGAAATGCTACAAGATTGCGACTTTCAAATACATTAACATCATTAAAATTCTAAAGTTTTTTTTTCTTTCAGGAAAGATGTGTCACCTTCCTTTTAAATAGCTGATCACCAATCCCATATTAATAAAATCCTCAATCTGACCTCTAATATAAACACAAATCAAAGTCATAAGGAATCCACAAATAAAGTACACAGACTATTTCCAACAATCTCTCGATTCCCTCCAGGACACGGGCTGGAAGAGAAGCACAGAGTGGGACGGGCGCAACAGAGTAAGTCTACGCAAAAGGCCTACCCACGGGGGCCCACGGTAAAGGAGGGAAGCCCAAAAGGAGGCAAGACTCATTAAGAAGAGATATATATACCATATCCCAAAAGTCTGAGAATGTGGAGGTAAGGTGTGTTTATATTGGCAACCCACAGGCCGCACCAGAAGTCTCGGGAGACAATCCTGCTACGAGGGTGAGGGGTGAGGGGTTACCGCGGGGTTCGCAGACGTGGAAGGGGGTGCGGCCCCAGAGGTTTCGGCAGGAGAGCGGAGAGCAGGCCCACAGTCCGTACCTTGTAGTAAACATCGAACTGGATGTTCTCGGGCAAGGAGCGGATGTCTCGGCGGGAGCGGGTGTAGTTGTCTACGACAGCGGAGATGGCGGTGTTATAGAGAGTCTCTGGGATCCACTCTAGTTCCACGGCCGCCATCTTTCTTCCCTCCTCCGCCTCCTCCGCCTCCTCCTCCCGAAGGCCCCCGCCTCCCTCCGTAGCGAACTCCTCTGCGGCCCCGGAGGATTCGGAGGGGCGGCGGCAGCCACGCGGGCACACAACAGAAGGGCACGGCCGCCCTGGCTACTCCTGGGGCAAGCTGGAGTACAGCGGCAGACACAATCCCGGGTAAAAAGCGGGGCAGAAAGCAGGAGAGAGGCCGGCCAAGGCCTCACATTCCGGGTTTCAGAGAAATCCGGGGTCCGTCGGAGCGCCTATCTCTGCAGGGGCGGGACTACGTGTGCAGCGTCATGACGTCAGTGGACGTAGAATCGCCGGCAACGAAGGAATGCGGCAGGAGAAAAATTTGGGGGGCGGAGAGTAGTGATCCCTCCCACCGAGAACGCACTTTCTAAGAAAGCCGAGAGTTGGGTTGGCGGGGGGGGGGTAAACTTTTTGCACAGGTGCAAGTTAGAACAGACTTTCTAGCTCCCGGTTCCGAGTCGTTCAGGTGCATCAGTTCCTTCTGCAAATCCTGCATCAGGAGTTCTTAGACACGGACCGTTTTAAGTCTCAGGTAAAAGTTTGAACCCTTTCCTCAGAAAAATGCCCAATTATTCGTACGTCAGAAATTATAATGCAGGGAATTCGCTGTACTCCAGAAATCCTCCCGTAGGCTTAGTCCCTAACCCAAGTCCAAGAACCTTTAGTTCAGAAACTAAAGGTCAGGATGGAAGTAAGACTTAACTTTTCATTGTGTGACTGCACGGCTTGAACTTTTTACCTTGTTCCTTTTCCCAAGTAAATTTTTAAAAAGTAAAAAGCACCCCTGCTCTAGAAAATTTCGTAGTAATGTTAGCCTAATTATGGAATTGCAGACGGGTGAGAGAAAAGAGGCCAAATGGTCGCTGAGATAGGACTTAACGGTAAAATAGAAATGAAGATGTCTGTTTTCTATTGTAGTTCTAGTCCCGGTCCTAGGGGATTGTTGAATAATTGGGATTACTTGTTTCATCTCCCTTCTTTTCTTAGCCTGAACATCTGTTATTTATGTAATTTTCTAAATCTGCTATTTCAAGAACTCGATACAACATCTTTCTGCTCTAGAAATTTAACTAGGAAATCACTGGCCATAATTGTGACCCTGTCAATCTCATAGTCACTCTATCATAAGATCTGAAGATGGCAATAAAAAGCATCCTGACATTTACAGCTAAAGGAATTGGAAGTTGTTCATTTAGTTTGCCCTTCACCCTGAGTAGTTTTATGGTATTTCAAACTTAAATGTTTAAATAGTTTGGTAAAAAACAAAGGAAGAAGGCACTTAGTCCACAGTCTATGCCAGTTCGTATTCCATCATCATGAACCTAGGAAAACTGTGGTTGCCCTCAAGGTAGGGTTGCCAGATTTAGCAAATAAAATAATATAGAATGGTCAGTTAAATTTGAATTTCAGATGAACAGTGAATAATTTTTAATATTATGACACATGTGCAATAGTTTTATCCAGCTATTGTGAGTCACTCAAACACATCAGTTCAACAGCAAATTCCACATCAGTTCTTAGACACAGATCCTTTTAAGGTACAGGTAAGAGTTTGGATCTTCTCCCCACAAAAAATGCATAATTGTGCATACATTACTCATACAAATATTGCATGAGACATACTTACACTAAAAAATTATTTGTTGTTTACCTGAAATTTATATTTAACTGGGTGTCTGTATTTTCTCTGGAAAATCTACCTCAAAAGATCCATGAATGCCCTTAAATTGAATTAAGATGTTCTAGGACATTTTGGCTGAATCAGGACCTGGGCTCAGGCCCTGTAAAGAGGTGAAGTTGTGTCAGATACATGTGTCAATCACTATATGGACCTTAGGTGCTACTGGGCAGAGTTAGACATCCAATAATATATATAGATGCAGGCGGATGTCTGGGAGGAAAGGACCTCTTCATCCCTTCCTTGTTGCTTTGTAGTTAAAAGTTATTTAAATGTTTATGACGAACTGAGAGGCCCAAAAGGACAAGGCTTGTGAGAAACAATTCACCATAAGCATTGAAAAAGTCAGGACCAATGCCCTGGCATCTGTTCAAAGGGCCAAGGGTCAAAAGGGAGCATTGGTTCCAGAATCAGAAGCCAGCTGCAGGCTTGGGACCTAAAGAACTGGGTGAATAGAGAAACGCATGAAAACTAGGCTACTTTTTTTTTTGTGGACTCCCCTCAACTGAAAGAAGAAAGACCCTCCCTTGCACCCCAAGAAATTAATGGAAACTTTATACTATACTGCCTTTCATATTTTGGACTATAGCATAGAATTGGAGTTCCCAGTGGTCGGGGCCGGATTATAAAGGGGCTGTGATGCCAATAGCTCTGGATGTTATCTTGGAGATGATAAAGAATCCTGAAAGGATTATAAGCAGTAAAGTAAAAAGATCAGATTTATGTGTCAGAAATAAGACAGTAATAGATCATCTATTACCCACAGAGCCAGAAGGTTTAGAATTATGCACTCCCAACTCCAGAAGAGTAGAATACAGAGGAAGCCTGCTAAACTGTAATGGTCACCTATACATTTTGGTGGACAAAGGCCTTTTGTGCCACAAAGTTAGTCTGGTAGTCCACCAAAGCCCCTTTAAGCTTTGACTTCTGGTAGCCTCAAATTTAGTGGAAGGCCTTGTACCAGACAGAGCAAAATGAGATGTGTACCTGGTGCATAAAGAATCCTGAGAGGCTATGATACCCACTATGACAATTTTTAAATTGCTATTTCTTTGACACTCCTTTCATTGGGCCCCTATCATTGGGGTCTAAGTATCTTCTTCTTGAATCTGGGTGGATTGTGACAGCTTTGACCAATGCAATACAGTAGAAGTGACGCTATTTGACTTCTGAGACTACGTCAGAAAAGGCCATGCAAAGTCTGCCTTGTTCTCTGGAATACCTACTCCTAAAGCCCTGAGTCATCATGTAGACCAACTACTCTAAGGCTGTCGTACTCTGAGAAACCTCATACTACATCGAAAGACGCCATGTAAGTACTCTGGTCCACAGTCCCAGCTGAGTGCAGCCTCTAAGACATACTAGCTCAGGTATGAGACGTGTGAGTGGAGAAATCTCCTGTTGATTCAAGACCGAAGACATTTCAGTCACCCCCAGCCATTTCGGTCTTCTGAGATGAGGGCCCAAGCATTATGGAGCTGGAACAAACCATCCCTGCTGTGCCCTATCTGTATTCCTGATACAGGGGCACACTAAAATGGTTGTTGGTTTATATCGCTGAGGTTGGGGTGATTTGTTATGCCACAGTGAATAACTGGAACACTCATTCCCATCCCCTAAAATTCTTAGAAACCCATCACCTGGGACTCCATATTGTATCTATTCCCTATTAGGGCCACATATTACTTAGAGTGTAAATTCCTTCATGAAAATAGTACAGTTCATGGCCTGTGCTGGACAGCTTTCTTAACTTTCCGTTGAAGTCTCTGCCTTGCTATTTATAAGAGTGGTATTTACTACCCATGGACTGCCAAACCATAGGTTATCAAAATGGAGACAAAAATTTTTGTCCTAAATCTGAAGAGTCCTTTTCAGAGCCTTCCAAGTGTAAAGCCATATGTGAAGCACACTCCAAACGGAGATGAACAGTCAAATGGATCTCATAAGTAGGATCTGTAAGTCATACCTATGGCACCATGCATCAGATAAACAAAATGACTGGGGAACCAGCAAAGAACAGAGCAAGATTGTACCAACATGTTCCACTCACTTGGAGAAATGATGCAGATAGGAAATCCAGCCCATCTCATCCCTCAGTATCATCACCAATATCTGTGGAAAACCCAAGTTTCACGGACATGCTCATAGTTACTGTCCGTCTTGCTGTGGCCCCTTAAAGTCATCCTAAAGGCTAGACATGGCGTTCTATATTCAAAATTAATACAGCCTACTCCCTCTTTTCTTGAATACTACGATCTTCATTAACATACCACCCCCATTTGGCATTAAGAAGCAATGGAAAATATACCCTATCATTTGCCAGACCTTACTTTGAAGATCCACCACTCATCTGTCAGTTTGTCATACTGTGATGGCTTCCATGATGCTGTGATGCTGGAAGCTATGCCACCAGTATTTCAAATACCAGCAGGGTCACCCATGGTGGACAGGATTCAGCGGAGCTTCCAGACTAAGACAGACTAGGAAGAAGGACCTGAAAAAAGTGGCCACTGAAAATCTTATGGATAGCAACAGAACATTGTCTGATACAGTGCTAGAGAATGAACCCCTCAGGTTGGAAGGCACTCAAACTATGACTGGGGAAGAGCTGCCTCCTCAGAGTAGAGTCGACTTTAATGATGTGGATGGAGTCAGGCTTTCGGGACCTTCATCTGCTGATGTAGCATGACTCAACATGAGAAGAAACAACTGCAAACATCCATTAGTAATTGGAAGGGAGAGTGTGCAAAGTATGACTCTACGAAAATTGGAAGTTGTCAGCAATGAAATGGAACGCATAAAGATCGATATCTTAGGCATCAGTGAGCTGAAACGGACAGGTAATGGCCATTTTGAATCAAACAATCATATGGTCTCCTATGCCAGGCATGACAAATTGAAGAGGAGTGGTGTTGCATTCATCATAAAAAAGAACATTTCAAGATCTGTCCTGAAGTATAGTGCTGTCAGTGATAGGATAATATCCATACTCCTAGAAGGAAGACCAGTTAATACAATTATTCAGATTTACACACCAACCACTAATGCCAAAGATAAAGAAATTCCACATTTTTACCAACTTCTACAGTCTGAAATTGATCAGACATACAATCAAGATGCATTGATAATTACTGATAATTGGAATGCAAAAATTGGAAATGAAGGATTGGTAGTTGGAAAATATGGCCTTGCTGATAGAAGTGGTGCTGGAGATCGCATGATAGAATTTTGCAAGACCAACGACCTATTAATTGGAAATACCTGTTTTCAACAACATGAACGGCAGCTTTACATGTGGACCTCACCAGGTGGAATACGCAAGAATCAAATTGACTACATCTGTGGAAAGAGACAATGGAAAAGCTTAATATTTTCAGTCAGAACAAGGCCATGGGCCAACTGTCGAACACACCATTAATTACTCCTATGCAAGTTCAGGTTGAAGTTGAAGAGAAGTGAAACAAGTCCACAAGAGCAAAAGTACGACCTGAAGTATATCCCACCTGAATTTAGAGACTATCTCAAAAATAGAAGAGCATTGAACACCAATGACTGAAGA